ATTGCATTTCAAAAAAAAAATTGTTTGTATACTTTTCAAATTAACAATAAATTTAAAGAAAATATTTAAGTTTGTAGTGTGTAAAATTCAHAGCTCTGGTAATAGTAAATACTCGTAATATGATATCTTAACTTGTAAGATAAAATATGTTTAGTATCTCTAAACCCTAAAAAAATATAATTTTCATCTTTTATAGTATGATGATATTACTTTTCGGTTTAATTTTTACACTATTTTTTCGTTATAGAAAAGAAAGTTCTAAATAAGTACCTTAAAAGAAAAGTTTGCGAACCACCCGAACAAGGCTGTCACCGAGAAATGTTGATAAGTTTCTATAATAATAAGAACCAACAAACTTTAACATAAATAATTCGTTTACCCGTTTACAAAATTTAGTGCATACAACAAAGAGTATAAGTATATATGAATTCTTTATCACGTTTTACATTTAAAATGATCGACATCAGCTTATTAAGTTAAATTCAATAATAATAATTTCATAATATCACAATACACCATATTTGAGATAGAAATAATAATAATGAATTATTAATTTATAAAATAAAAGTTATTTGATATCAGTTAAATACTAAACAAATCTTATTTATTTCAAATACCTACGTATTATATTTTTCATGTATAGTAGTGTAAAGGAAATTTAATGCAAATTATAAATCATTTATATGTATAATTTAATGAAAACTATAAATTAGTTTAAGATGATATTAATATTAGCAAAGAATTTTTAACAATTAATATAAAATAAATAAATTGAAATAATGTAATTAGCTATTATTTTTCATCTACAAGCAAAATCAAAAAAGAAAACATCTATTTATWCATTTGTAACTTATAAATATAAATTACATACGACTTTAAAATAAAAATATTGAATATCTTCCCACTTAATAAGCTTTAGAATGGCTACTTTAAACCATAAACAAAATCGTTACTTCGTTATAATTTTCGTTTTCCGAGAATACTGTCTAGGTTAGTCGATTTAATTTACATAAAAGTGAAGCTTATTTTTAAAGGTCGAATATAACAATAATAATACGTAATTATAATAAGCAACTAGAGGTCAAAAACCTCAAGCTGGCCAAATTAGACACTTTACCGAACAGCAGAACTTATACAAAATTACAGCATATAAAATAGCTTACTATATAACAATATTATAACCATATTTAATCGATTATCAAGTTCATACATTATACATAAATATATATATATATATGTAAAACATTATATTAGAGGTAATAAACAATGAAAAAATGTAGAGAGACAATATTAAATATAGACAATGGCCAGTTTTTTTTTTTTTAACATTAATTTTGTTTTTACAGCAGTAACACTGCAGGTCGTAAAATTTCCATTAACAAAATAAATATAATATATATACATAATGTGTATATATATATATATATATACATACATAATATATATATATATATATTTAATTATTTTAAGTACCTACACAAATAAAAATTAATTAAACAATCGATTTTTGGCTTTTAACGATTTATTTTCGAACATTGCGCCGGCGGTAGATGCCAATCACAAGGGTTGAATTCGACCAAACCTAACATTTGAGTAGACACGTATAAACAATATAATATTTACATATATCTATACCCCTAAACCGTTTTTAAACACGACAAATAACGATTGGAAAAATATCTAAAAACTTTATACACGCGCAATAAATAATTTTTTTTTAGCCCTTTATACGCTCCCGTTGCACAACGATTTTTGTTGTGTCTGTCGCACACGGCAAAACGGAAACATAACGTACCTAATAAAARATTATGTTTTTTAAATTGTGAAAAACATTGTAATAAATGTTAATTACTGCGCTGACCGTTGGCCATAATATATCATACAGGAAAGCAGCGAAATTCTATGGCGGCCAAGGACCGAGGCGGCAACAGTGCGGGCGGCGGTGGCCGGAAGAAGAAGCACGAACCACCGCCGAAGCCCATACCGGAACAGGACAGGCATATTTGTGGGCTGATATGCGTGTGTCAGCTTACATTCGTGCTGAGCTCCGTGTCGCTGGTGTACCTGTCAGTGGCCATCTACGTGCCCGGCTACAGGGCTTTCAACGCGGCCATCGAGACGGTTCCGCTCATGTGCCAGACGATCAACTCGACGGTGTCCAACAACTGCGAGTGGGCGTCGTGCGGCGAGTGGTGTCTGACGAAACCGTCGGGAAACTGTCCGCAGTACCTTGTCACGGTCCGGCACAACGGCACCGAAATCGGGGTGGAGAACTGCACGCGGCTCACGAGCGTCTCATGTCCGCAGGCAAGTTTCCAAACTATTCGCGGTCGAGGAGGGTGCCGAGTTTTTGTTAGGTTTTTTTTTTTACCGCGCACACCACCGCGTCGTCGTGTTTCTCGATTTCGTAAATAATACGCGTGTAAATATATTTCAACCCGCGGTCGACCAATTTAGCCACCAGCACCGCCACTTAAGCCAAAACCACCGAGACCACGTGTGGTCATCATCGTATCCATAATAAGCACTAAGTAGGTATAGACATATAGCTTAAAGCCGAACACATATTTCGTTATATTTCTCGTCGAAACCAATACACAAACTATCCCGCGTGTATATTAGGTTATATATTTACAAAGGTATACATCATGTGCAAAACATATTCGAATAAAACGCCGTGTTTTTCGTCCATAAAAATAATACGATTCCATCACGCAAGTCATATAGGTCGACTGTAAGGTAGGAGGTGCCTACCAGAGGGTGTACAGTAAAAAATTATACTATAACTTTTCAGCATATAATGTATATATGTGTGGGTGTGTGAGTATAAATTGCAGTAAATACAATGCAATAGTTGTATAATAAACGCGAAGCTCCGGTATAACACGCGGCATTTCGTGATCGAATAAAATATAACTAAGACGCAATTATTGTTAAAAAACCGAAATAAAATAAATTTTTTCATTAAATAAAAATATAGCCACAACATATAGGGAAAGACGGTTAAAATACATCTATACACTGAGGAATTATGAARGCATGCTCGCCCCTTTTTTGAAATTTATATATATACATAGGTAAAGAAAATAGTTTTAAACTCTTAAATTGTATAATACTACTTAACTACTTTAAGAGAAATCTCAAATGGAATAAACAAATTTCTGTTTGTCAAATTGTAAAACCCCTTTTTAACTGTAACTTTGTGTACTAAAAGGAATAAGGTCCATGGGTTTCGAAAATATATTATAGGGGTTATGGTAATTGGACAATTTTAGTGGATAATCCACATTTTTAAAATGGTCCAATAATATAAATAGGTACTAGGACCAATATTGCATCTATATTATATTTTTGTAAAACAATTTTTAAGGACTAAATTATATGTACTATCCCTATTTTAAAAATTTTAATACCTGAAARACTACTAGTTCAAATTTYGAATTAGGTTCAAGCATAATTTTCAAAAGAATTACCCACTATCAATAATTTACAATAAAAACTAAAAGGATTTTCATTTGAAAACCTAAAATTTGTTTTGCCACAGGACACTCCTGGAAAATGTATACAAAATAATATTTCAAGAATTTCAAAAAAATGATATGAACATTTAAAAAAATTAGAATTTTAAAAATGTATTGTTATAGAACAATTAATAATTAGGAATGAGCATTCTTGATGAATAATCATGTACTTATATGATTTAATATAAAGTATGTACATATGTAAACAMACGAGTATAATATAGCATAAGTTTACCAGTTCCAAAAAGTAAAGTCCAATCAAACAAAATAAAAAATGATGATGACACACCGGCCAGTCATAATCGACGCGTTGCCATTGACGGACTAGTACGTGGTGGTAAAGTCGATAAGCGCATCATAAAACGCAACTCTATAATATGATAATTATTTTTCGAACTCGTCCGATTAACCACGCTTTCCCGCAGGCTAATCCGGATACACTGAAACGGTACAACTGCAACAACAACAAAGAGTGTTTGGGTCTGACGGGYATCATGGCCTGTAGGCTAGGCCACTGTTCCAACATGTCAGAGCTGTACCAGTGTTACTACAACAAGAGCGGATCGTCGATAAACAGCGACCAAGACAATTTGAAGCTCAACGGTTATTTCATCTGTGAAAACGGGAGGTAAGAACAGTCGTCATATACATTACGGTTGAAATATTGTGCGAAAGTAATCAAATAAAAAAAAAAAAATTATTTCTTTGGCGTTTTTAAGCTGTTTCACGATTAAATGGCCATTCGACTGTGATCGATACTGTAACAAAATCACGACGACGGGAGTGAACGTGTTCCTGCGACTCGGGGACACGGTGCACACGGGTGACTGTCAGCGAGTGGTGGCGTACAACAAGGCCAACGGCAATGCGGCGCACGGGGAACCACTGGCGACGCCCAAAGAGATCTGGACCGACGAGAACTCGACCATCGGCATATTCATGGCCAGCTGCAACGGCATAACGAGGGACAGCGTCAATTCTCTGAGGTAAGTGCGGGTGTATAGTTTGCTTTTMGAATTTGTTTTTCATTCGTTTTCCTTCGTCTGCCGCTGCTGCTGCTGMTGCCRCTGCTGCTGCACTGTTGCCACCTGCATCTGCAGAGCCTTTGACTGCATCAACGGCACCGTACTCGATGAATCGCAAATGCCGCAACTGTTCATAAACTTCACGACGTTCTGGACGATATACGAAGCAAGCGATCGGCCGCTCGACGAGACCAACACGTTCGTACCCGCGCAATCCGCCCTCACCGTCTACAACTCCACCAGACTGTACATMAACCAGCAAGGGTGCGTAAACACGTTGCGCAACGAGTGCAGAGACTTCAGCTTCACGCATGGTCGAGCCGGCGACAACCACACGGCGCTGAGCCGGTTCCCATGCTTTTACACAAAGGTATAATATTTTACCTACATCGCGTAACTTATTAGTACCTAAGTTATTTTTATTTTTTGGTTTTCTGCGCATGCAGTATACAGACATCATTTAATCGATTTAGATAGGAATTGTGACTAGACCAGAGGGTCTATAGTAGTCTTAGTACTAAGTATATTTAAATGACCTATATATGAAATATTAAATGAATAAAATCCATATTTAATTTCTATTTTTAACAAAACATTACGTTTTTCTACGAAAAGGTTAATATTGTTTTCACATGTATATAAAATATGCACGTTTCGAACGGCTATGGAAAATTATCGCTATTGAAAACACATTTAAACAAAAGTTTCWAAAACGGTTGCCAGAAAAATGCCAACGATTATTGCTTAATCCAGAATAATAAATTTTAACGATATTATACGAATAAATAATATGGATGTGCCCAACATGTCTATACCTGTTGCCTGCACAAGTCGGTTTTCGATAAAGTACTTAACATAATTATTATACATTACGCATCATACATAGTATGAATTTTTTATCGCTGGGTTAAATATAGGTATATGTCAGTTAATAAAATCGAAACAATTCTGACGAATTTCATATTACGATTAACGTATTCTTGAAAAATGGATAAATAATAATAATTTTGCTCGTCAAACATTTACATAATATGTTTAGCTAGTAACAAATCCTGCACTTTCGTGATCAAAGATTACAATATATAATATAACGCAAAATAATTATAATACSTATTAAAAATACAGCTGACAATTAGATGTTATTCAATGGTAACTTGAATTGATTTGATACAATTGAATTTTATTAATATGTGTGCTGCACGACCCTCAAAAATTTTTGAAATAAAAAGTGGCCAACTCCCTAAAAAAGTCGATGACTCGTGTGGGACTCGTCAGATAATCGTTTTCGACCGAGTATACATGTAGGTATATTATACGACATTTAAATTCGCCTCACGACTGCAGTAAAATCGAAAATCCACTTTCCGCGATTTCGCGATGGAATTAAATTTTAGATTTCTGTCGACATTAATTACTAACGGTTAACGATCGAACGCCTGCGTTGTTCAATGTTGTTTATTAATGTTATAATATGTTGTTGTTGATGCAGAACGATTCGTTCTCGGCGCTGGCCCGTTTTGACCTGAACAAGACGTGGTGGGAACTGATGGTGGGCGTCACCGTGCCCGGCATACTGTTCGCCGTGTCGTTCTTGACGTTGCTGATCGTCCACCAGACGGTCAAGGTAGGCGACGACGCCCGCATGACTTGCCAGTGGTGCGCGGACGGCGACGCCGGTGCCGCGGCCGACGAACCGTTCATGAAGCACATCGACAATCAGGCAACTGCAGGTGGAGGGGGACGYAAGCACCGGAAGCGAGGCGACCTGCAGGAGCTCAGTGTCATCGAAGCGCTGGTGGCTAGGTCGGCGGACATGTCCGTCGGTGTCGACGGTAGGCGTCCGGTGGATGGCCCGGACGTGTAGAGTGACACCGTTGCCAACGTTTATAACAACATAATGATGATGTATCGTTTTTAATTGGACGGACGGACGTGCGAAAACCGTCAGGTCTAACCCTCCGTCGACCGCACACGATAACTAAACGGTAACGCGCAGAAATCGAACGTCAGGCCGATAATTTTTAATATGATATTAGAACATAACGATGTAATAACAATATAATATAGTGTTGTTATATAATTATTGCAATACCATTTTCATTTCGCGAACGATTCAAAAAGCTTTTGCAAACATTTTACTATTCGGACTCGAGTCCACAAGTACATAAAAGTTATATATTATAAAGCGTTATTTTTTCTATATTATTATACTGACTATTTCGTACGCCAAGTAATAAAATAATATACGTAAGTAAGATAATATGTGTGTCGAGTACACATTCACCGCGCATTACGAGTGAATAATATGATAAAAATGTATACCTATAGGCAAATATTCCGACCATCAAAAATTATTCTTAAAAAACCATTGTGTTGATCATATTATAGTCTTTTTTTTATTTAAAGACATTTTGTAATTTTTTTTTTACATATTATATTTCTTATAATATTATATTCACTAATATCGTTTTTTTTTAGTTTTTTTATTATGCTAAATAATATATTTGTACTAAATTTTTATGTTTTATCACTTTTAAATAAATATTAAATTATTTTCAACAATAAATGTATTTTGAAATTTAAGCCCGGGATATTAATTCTGACGCCACGTCAATATCCATTTATTAATACCTATACACAATATGACAGATAAAGAATATCGCTCGTCTTCGTAAAGCCAGTACCTTACGATTCTTGACATATTGACGTTTACATAAAACCGACACGTTTAATACTAAGTGAACCTATGCTGTAAAAATCAAGTATTTTCACWGGAAATATTGAATACATTTACAATTATTACAATCAAACGGAAAATCAATAAAATCTGCTGTTTTATGAAACTGAAAATACGCTACATTTTCGTATCGTTTACGTATTAATTATGATCAATATTAGGTATACCAATACCAAAATCAACCTGGCCCATGTTTTGGTTCAAGTACAAGGTATGCAATTTTTTGTCTTGGGTGCAATGTGCCAGGGGGGCCTCGGGCTGAGGTTGTTTTAGAGGCCTCGAGTTTATGTCCCAAATTTTCAAACTTTATAAGGAAATAAAATATTAACAATCAGAAAAAATGATTTAAAAAAAAAATACCTACTCTTTATTTAAAATAATTTGTATGTGAGCTTCACGCGTATATTCGCCATAACGTGTCATTGGCAGTGCATGGATAACAAAAAAAATGGACTCTTCCCTCACACAGACAGCAAAAAAATCAAAAATAATTATCATTAAAATATAAAAATTGTAGGTTCTATATTTATAGCATTTTGAACTTATTCACAACTATTTTATTATTAAATAACTCTACCTGCTTAGACGTTATGAAATATTAAATAAATAAATGTCCATCTTACATGGCAATCTTTTTAAACTACCTAATAAATAAATAGTATGTGGTTTAAATTTAAAAAAAAAGCTTTTAAGAGTATATAAATGGGMCGTTTCTTGAAGTCATGGACGAATACGAAYCCAATGCACATATTTTTGCATACGGTATCATAATTAGTTAGATAAAATCCTTCTCTTTGAGGCCAATTTTTAAATTTGAAAAAATAAGATCAAACTATAGAGGCGAGACAAAACATTGTAAATATTTTAAGTGATCTTCCCCAATGAACTTTGAAATATCGATATTGATTATATGTAATATTAATTTAGTATACTACAATTTGAACAAAACAAAACTGAAGTTGTTTTATTAATTACAATATACGACTAAAAATGTTACGAATATCGTGTATACCTACTGTGTTGTCAGCTATACATCAAAATTATATGTACGAGTATATGAGTAAAAGTAATATACTTAATACGTAAATACCTACKGATATTCTCGAGAGAATATTCCTCAGGGACATTCACCTCTTCAATATCAATTTTTTGTCTCAAATTATAAAAAAAATACATGTATAATGCATGCTATTATTTATATTGAAATCACCTTTCTCCCTTACAATTGAAATTGATCCAGAGATGTTACTGAAACATTAAGTATAATTTCATATCACTTATTAAAACCAAAAATTACAAAACAGACTTGAATTTATAGTTATAAGCTACACGAAATAGCAAAAGTGGTGAACTTTTAGCACCGTAACTCGGGATAATAATATTAACCCCAACTGCCAACAGTAATAAATTATAGCGCTTAACGTCACGCGACATTTTGGTTTTTGCCATACGCCCTACTCCTCACAAATGACAGTTTGCAACAGAAATTAATTTCTTTTACGTCATGGCAGTCGGCAGACTAGTTATTCGGAATATTTTGTCAGCTTATGTAGAAAAATTATTTTATATCTATAAACCTTACAAAATAATGTTATACAGAACGAGTGTATTGTACCTGCTATTCTTATATTTATTATTCTTCATTATATCCAACTTTTCATTTCAATTTATAATTTTTCTAAATTTTAGCTACATTATTTTTATTGATATACATCTAAGTTATTACATTCATTATATTTTAATATATTGTATTATATCAATACAAGTGCAAATTGTGCAATATTGCATGTTAATGACTGCGTGTTTATAATCTAAAAACTGTTTTCTTTATCTAAACTTTTTATAGGTGAATACAGATAAATAGTTACTTTATTTATACTTTCTGTAATGCATAAAATATTTATTCATATAAAAATTATGTTGGTTTACCTGAAGTCAATGAACTCAGTAAAAAAATAAAAATAAACATTCAAATTTAATAAGTTTTTAAATTATACTTGATAAAAATAATTGAAATATATTTACAGGGTAATGAGTGATAAAGTGTACTCTGTTTCTTAGAAAACCTCGGTATAGGAAGATTTAATAATAGTTTTAAATACATTATAACTAAATCTTTATTGTTAGTTTATAAAATATCTAGTTCGTAAATAGAATAATAATTAGTTGAAGTATGTATATATGGATTCATTCAATACATTAACTGAAAGTACCTGTAATTCTATAGAATAACTATTATAGTTATTTTATAGAATTACTGAATAGTGAATTTTATAAATTATACAATATTATAAATGGTCTGTTAGCTAGACACAAAATCTACCGAACACTTTTCAATAAAATTTATATCATTATACTTCTCGAGACTTGGAGGGATTTTATAGCATATTTTTTTAACCCCTATACTCAATAGGTAGGTAAAAATAGCTCACACATAATTTTTGTTCAGATCACAAAAATGTACATATTATATTTTTGTTATAATTAGTAGAAATATGGCATATACAGGCTGATTTTTTACAAATATAATTTTTTTTTATCTTTGGCATGGGCAATGTCAAGCGGAACAGTTAATATTACATACAAATTTCTATGAGTATTTTTATAATGCTTAGATTTTTATTTCGTCATTAATGAATGCGAAAAATAATTCATATATAAAATGCACTAATTTGTAACTAAATTGAACTCAATATTTTAGATTCTGAACGAAGTGATGAATGTATTGATTTTACAATGATGTGTGTTTTCTTTTTTTTTTTGTGTCTGTGTACAGCATAACTAGTCGAAATAATGCTTCAATTTCAAACTTYGGGGGTGGTTTCYGATGTAAAAGTGAATATCCTTGGTACATTATAGAGGTCAAAAGTAAACATTTTCTAACAATTTTCAAAAAAATCGAGAAAAACAAAATTTTTTTATATGGTTATAATTCAAAAACTAATCACTATCTTACTTAATCAATACTTGAAAATTTCATCAAATGTTTATGTTAGTGATATCTATATACAGTTTAATTTTCAAAAATTTTTGATTTATTTATAGATCACTGAAATTTTCGATTTCGAAGTGTCGGTATAAAAATGTTGGATGACCAAAAAAATTTGAAAATTTAATACAAGGTTCCTTATAAGTTTTTTTATTGTAGCTAAAAAAAAATTAAAAATCGTTAGTCACAACTTTTTTTTATAAGCGTTTATAGTTCAAATTTTTACGAAATCTGTCGAAAACGCGAAAATTTGCAAGTAATTTTGAAGTTGAAAAATCGTAAAATTTTTTGTGTTTATAACTATGGATTTCTGAAATACAACACTAAGTTTTCCATAAGTTTTCCTTCAAGTAGCTATAGAGAAAACTCGAAGCATCATTATACGAAAAATTTTAGGTGCGTTTGAATTTTAAATTTTTACGAAATAGCGTAACGATAACGATTTATCCTCAAACGATTTTAAACATTTGATATTATTCAAAAAGTATAAGTCGTAGATACTTGACAATTTTACCAGTTATTTAAATTGGCATTTTCTTTACATGATTTAATTTTCAAAATATTTTATATTTTGACATTTTTTGAGATATTTATAGATAAATGAATTTTTCAATTTTTCTGAAATTTATTTTTTTGAAGTGTCAATAAAATTTTTTTGGCCCCATCAAAATACTTGAAACTTTAATACAAAGTTTCTCATAAGTTATTCTTATAGTGATTAAAAAATTATAATAATATATAGGCACAATTTTTTTTTAATTAGCATTTGAAGTTCAAATATTGACTTAATACGTAAAAATTACGACAATGTTCAAATTATCTTAGATAGAAATTCATAAAAGTTTTTCTTTTTAAATCTAAGATTTGAAAATTTTTAATAATCTATAATATATCCTAGACAGATAAACCGTCTCCGTTCAGAATCGTTTTTCGTATACAATGATACCTATCATTGAATTCAAATTTAACCTATACCCTAGTCAGAGGTCCACCCCACCCTCTACTGTACAGCAGAGCGACATCCACTTACCCGCTTTTTTTCATATATAAATAATTATTTTATATTAAGAAATTAACTATTCTTAATCAAAGATTATGTAGAACACGAGTGCCACAGCGATTGGAGTTGCGAAAGGCACAATATGAAAAATAATAAGAAGAGTAGAAAAAGAAATTACCTATAATCACCTACATTAATAAATATTAAGATGTGAGCCGCGTAATATTAAAAACCACTGGTATAGAATAATAAGTTCTTGGATACAATTTCTAGTATAATGGTATGAAATTTAATTTGAATGTACTTGAACTAAAGCAAAAACTTAGATTGTAAAATATTGGATTTTTATTGTAATACATAATATACAGATAAAATTCATACACATCCTTCCCGTAGGCCAAAGTATGATGTATGAACTACAACCACAACCATCTGATACATATAATGCTTCGCCTCCTTAAAACCACCTAAACTATTATTTCTTACTAGGTATAAACACTTTTTCTTTATCTTAGTTTTATTACCACATTTTAGATTCTGAGCGGAGCGATAAATATGTATTGATTTTACAATGCTGTGTTTTTTTTTTATGTCTATGTACACGATAAGTTGTCAAAATAATGCTTCGATTTTCAACTTCAGTAGATTTTCCGGTTGGAAAGTGTATCTGTTAGTGCATTGGGAATCTCAAATTTTGAAATC